GCAGCTATTTGCTTTATTTGTCAGGAGAAACATTTATTTTCCAAGGCAAAATCTCAGGGACTATTGGTGGAAAGGAATGGTTTTCTTTGACTATGATGGGGTTTGAACCTTTTTGGGTCGTCCAACCGAGTCTTAGGTTTTTTTTTTTTAAATTTTGACGGGGCTTGAGGCAACCGTGGCTCACCCGCTCTCTGGTGTTTCAATTGGAATACGGAGGATCGAACTCTTTTACGCACCCATTGAAAATTCCTGCATACATAAAACTCCGCGGAAGATGCAAATTATGATTTTTCGCCATTGCTCACTGTTCTTAGGGAAATTGCTCTTTCACTATCCTGTTGGCTAAGATTCTCTTGGGTCCTAAGGAATATTTCTAATCCCATCCTTAGCGACTGGGTGAATGAAGTCATTTTCTGTCGGATGAACGACGCTGTTTATGAATTCAAAAGCTTTGATTTACCCAATAGTCGAATGATTAAGCTCCAGGACTCGTTGGCTTCTTGTCTGTATTGCATCCTGCGAATTAAATTGACATATTTTGCTTCTCAAGGTGCGTTCTATATTGCCTTCATTGTCATTGGATTGATTCCTTAGAAAATAACAGGGGTAGGTTAACCAAAGTAAAATTAATAAAATAAAATAAAATAAAAAAGGCTACATCAAAATGATACAACATGAATCATTTCTTACAAGGAGACTTTTCTTTCAAACGAATGATTTTTGGTAACTAAAGTTGGAATTTCACCTGTGCAGAATTAGCGTATTCATCTTCAAGATCAAGAGTGCTCAAGATTTCTTTTTCATATCAGGGTGCTCAAGATAGGAACGGAAATAACTGAAAACCCCTGATAACTAATTAGATGAATTTCTCCTTTTCTGTTATCACTTCAGTTTTGCATTTTTACCGGGACAGAAAGTATAGTTCCCACTATAGGGCAACACTGTAATAATGGACAGAGAAGTTGGTGGACCTGGATTCTTCAGAGAGGATTGTTTATGTCACAATTATTTTTCCTTCTTGTAGGCCGTGTAAGGTACATATTAGTACCCCAGAGCTAAAAGATACTTATCAACTGCATTTTGGGCTTTTCATGACGTCAGGGGAAAACTGCGCGTCGGTCCCATTGATTCCAATGTAAATCGCAATTTTGGAAACTCCGTATCTCAAAACCGGCGTGAGATTTCCACCGAATTTTCCACACACACGGAGTCGTTGGTGATGATTTCGAAAACGCCACTAACTCGATTTTTCCGAACTTGTGAGTTAGGCACACTGAAAAAAAAATCTCGGTGTATTTACTAAGAAAAGGGTAAAATTACCAAGAATTCAGGGTTCTATTTGATCCCAGTTTTTTCTTTATAAAATTACCATTTATGGAATTGGTAATTTTACCGAGAAATCTCGGTAAAATATTCGAACTTTCTCGGTAATTTCACTGGACCCCGGTAAAAACGCCAATATTTTGTATCGACTGTGGTAGAATTACCGAGAAAAAATGTCAAAGTTACCGAAAATTTATTTATATTACCAATAACAGTGGTATTCTTACCTGAGAAAAACCGGTTTTTAGGTAAGCTTACCAGTCTGTCTTGGTAAAATTACCAATAATTGGTAAAAAAAGTGAGATGGTAAAGGTACCAACGGACCTTGGTAAAAACCCCGAGAATTTTTTTCAGTGCACCTTTCGTCTCCGGGGTACTGATATATATCTGAATCCTGAGGGAGAAAGAATCGGTGGGACGACGGTTTCTTCTTACAGTAGTTTAAGACAGACTTACCGTCGGAATCCTGAAGCGAGCATACTTTCAATTCTTCTTGTCAGCTTGAGGACAGAAGTCAACTTGATCCAACTTAAATAACTTTAAAATTTTCGGTCTCCACCGTGTTTTCCTCATATCGACGGTGAAACTACCAAACCACGTATCTCGGTTTGCGACGTCGCAGACTTCCCGTCATACTTTATTTTTTAAATGAAAAACTGCTTAACATCCAGTCTTGAAAATTTCTGCGATTTTTCCTCTTTGTGCGGAGAAAATTCCGTGAAAATTTCAAGGAATGACATTGATTTGGTCTACTTCAAAAAAATAAAACGTGAGCGTAGATTTTTAAACACCGCAAACGAGATACGTGGTTTGGTAGTTTCACCGTCGATATGCACCTTCCATGCTCACTGCCATTCTAACCCCCCAAAATGTTCTCGTTTTCGTCGCTTCATACATACATAAGAGTCGCTCTCACAGCGCTCTCCGGCGCTCTGCGACGCCTAACCGCCACAAAACTCGGTCCTCCCACTAGTCATCAGGGAGTTGGCCTTGGCACTCCCTCATCTCATCCAAAACTCCCTGTCGCCACCCTTTCACCGGGCGTCCCCTTCGTCGCCTCCCAGGAGGAACCCAATCAAGCAGGTCGTCGCTTTAGCCGTGGATTATTAACAAGCTAGTCAATTTTTTTTACATTATGACTGAGGTTCCTTCAGAAACGAATAAATTAGCCTCAAATGACAGTTAATTTCGGGTGTGAAAATATATTCTCTCATTGCTTTGGCCTAGCTTATTCGTTGGATCCCTCACTCACACTTTCTTTATTTCACTAACAGTCCGAGATCGCACCCACGTCCACATTTCATGATGAACGTGGGAACCTATTTTATCCGTGCATCATTTAAAATTTTCCATATATTTTCTTTTTCGAAGCCAATTTGGGCCGGGGAATGAACTGCTTCCACCACGGGTTTTCCAGCTTTCTGCATAATTTATCTAAGGGTTGCCGATTATTCTGCCGACGTGATACACCCGCGCTTTCAGCAGAAATAGGCGGAATTTCTGAGGCATTTTGGCAAAAAGAATGCCATGGTATATTACTATACGCCGTATGTTGCCGTCTCTGCTGACGTTTTCGTTTAATTCCATTCCCTTCGCGGGGAAAAGTTAGCCAATATTTCTCGAAAGCGACAACGCTCTGGTGTGAGCTCGCCTCTGGCCAAGCGTGTCTTCCCTCGCATGAAACGCGCCGCCGCCATTTTGTTCAGAAAAATTACGCCATTTATAGCGAGTTTTAATCTCGTCTCTGCCCATGACGTCAGCATGATAAGGGACTTGGCTGAAGAATTCTTATCGAATGACCTTGATTGATAGAGAACATTTCTAGGAAAGGAATATATAGCATTGCAACTATCAACCCGCGTGTTCTTTTCAAATATCAGAATAGTTTGCTGAAATTAAACCCTGAGTTGGACGTACTTCTGCCGAACGGTACTATGTGCATGAAGACATGAGCCCTGAGACCCATAAGAATACATGTATTACAGGCCTTACGTCATATTGCACTTAGTTCCGTTTGACGGAAATACGTCCAGTTTAAAGATAACGACGAGCGGCGTATGGTGAGTTCGCCCCAGTGAAAAGCAAATAAAAAACTGATTTTATTCTAACTTGGTTCTTTTCCGCCAAAGCGCTCCATACATATGGATCGCATTTAGCAAAAAGGAACCAGCGCGATCACAGTGTCATAAAAATGTCGCTTCTTCATAATTATCTGAAAAATCTCTCAGAATAGCAAATAGGTTTTTCCTCCCATCAAAAAATTGTTGAATTTATAGGAAATCATCGTGTAAGTTTTAATACAGTACATATATTAAGGATTTTTAAGAGGAAAGAAGAATTCGCACGATTCTGAAAACACTGTTAGCGTGCTGGTTACTTTTTGCTAAATGCGATTCATTTGTCCTCATGGTTGTCATCTTGAGTTGCCTGAAAAATATTACAGTTTTGAGCATTTTAGCACAACGATGGCCAACAAACGATACCGCTTATTCGCAAACTGACCGTTTTTGCAGAACTTAGAGGAATCTGACATTTTTGTAATTTTCAGGTTGGATTTGGAATTTTTTCATACATTACAGCGTCATTGAAGAGTTCCCCTGCAGAATTGGAAAAAAAATTAAAATCATCAGCTTCCGTATTCCATAATGTGAAGTGTCGCAAAGTTGCTAACTCATTTTTGCCAAAATTGTCAGTTACGCGGGATTGTTTCCAGTGGCGTGGCGTGCTTTGCGATGTATCGATTGATTGGCCATGTAAACCTATGGAAAAGTATCGATAAACGAGGTGTTCGCAGGGAACACCTTAATAATCGATTATTTACCACAGCTTCAAATGGGGAAATATCGATGGATCGCTGTGTATAGATGTTTCCAATTTAGATGTTAACCGTCGATAAGCTAATCTCGCGTCCTCTTTTGCACTCGAGAATACATTCATCAAGTAAAGAGACTTGTTGGAAAAATGGGTGTACATTATTTAAGCTCTCCCCCCCTATTTAACCCTATTTTAAGCTCTCGATTCGAGCAACGGCACTTGCGCTAAACAATGCCACAAATTTTAGGGAATTTCAACCGCTTTTCAACTCTAGCCAAAGATTTTCCCTGAGACTCGTGGCATCATAAGCTGTAATGCGGCGCAGATCGCGTCGCACAGTGGATCGAGTCAATGGAAGTCAATCGACATGATTTAAAAACTTTAAAAGCGTATATCTTCATGAAAAAGAAATGTTGATGTTCTGAAAGTAGTTTTAACAGTTTTCTCGTAAAATTTTGTTTGAGAAGCATCCCTTAAAATTAAAATTGTGGCGTATTATTCGCAAAATAGTACGATCTTTGACAAAAATTTCATGTCCGACTTCCTCCAAAGACTCGTTTTACTGTGCGTCGGTCGAATCGAGGGTCAAAACAATGGGCCAACTGGATTGCATTTTGCAGTAAGGAACCACTATTTCTGGCCCATTTTAGAAACAACATACATGCCATTGGTTCCCTATGCAAATATGTGCTTTTGTGGGAGAGCCAGAGATAGTGGCTCCTTATTGCAAAATGTAATCAAAATTTAAACAAGGCTCTTTTCATTTGCCAATTCGAGAACACATATTAGTCCAAAAACTGTATGCACCCAGGTCTCTCTACATCATGATACTCCCATTCGATAAGTTCACAAAATAGACGTGATTCATCCTCTCACGACTTTTATTCATCAGTTTTATTTTTACAGCTCTTCAAGTAAGGTGGGTTCCTCCGCAACTCGATGCTGCGAACCATGCCTGCTTTGTACAAATCGGAAAAACAGAATGGACACCATTGTTAAAAGAAAACAAGCTGTGACTGCCCCCATGAGAGTCACCAAAAACCGAGTGCTAACTACTGTATTTACCATTCCTTGCTCAGGAAAATTCTGCTCACATTTGAGTTGCCTGGGCGATGTTCCGTTCAGTCCATGGAAGTTGATGTATTTTATATGGATCGTTAATTCAGAACGTTTCTTAGTTAGAAGTTTGATATAGCACACGTCATGTTTCTCTCGCAAGATTAGCTTGGTCGGCTCTAAATCACATTTGATGGTACGTCGATCGAAGGAGCAATTCGAAACGAAAGGAACCAAGCCTCCCTTCTCTATGTTAGTTGCTTGAATCGCTACATGAGCGCTGTCATCGCAGGAAAAACAACCATAGCTCCCAACAGGTCTTACAGTGCATCTCCCTTCCATTGTATTTAAAATGTTTCCCACCCCTAGGACTACATGTCCGTACTGGAATGTTGTACCCCCGTCCTGGATCGTTTCATCATACGTATCGACCACTGAAAAACCGGATGCCGGTAGGGTGAACTTTTTGGGTTGAGAGTAAAATGATTTGTCTTTCGCTAACTTGGTGCACTGTAGAGAGGTAATCGGTGGCGTCATCATGATGCCATTGATTTCCTTTCTACATGTACAAGAACAATTGTACCACGTTCTATCAGGTACAGCACATTCTGCATCCAATTTTTTGTATAGTACTGGGATGGCATTGCTTTTCGTGTCTTCGGTTTTACCTTGCGCAGTGGTTATGGAATCGCCGCTCACTCTCTCCGAATATGAGCGCAGAGAGAGTTCGTCAACATAGAAAAATTCCCCATAATATTCCAGTAGTAACTTTTTTGGCCAATTCTGCATTAAAGAACTTGACACCGTGAATGGGATCGAACCAGATTCTTTCAGTTTGAATTTTGAGACGTCCAAGAAGAAAGTTTGGTCGTGTTCACTCAAAGTTATCTTTTGCGTATTGTTCAACGCATCTTTTACCTCGACCTCCAGGATCGGAATTGGATCAGTTTTCTGATGAAGTACTGTGTGTAAATGTCCAATTTCCTCCAACTTGTATGTATTAACGCACGCACACATTTTCCATACGGAGCTGGACATTGACAAATAATCAGTATTTACCGTGAATGTTTGATTTTTAGCGACCTCCGAAAGATTTGATACCGCCCGGGTACGGCACTCCGCTATGAACGATTCACGAGATTCAGGAGTACTGTAACTTCCGAGGGGAGGATGATCCTTAGAGCATGTGATTGATGTTGTATTCAAACAAATCTTGTCTTCTCGTATGTAGTACTCCCTCTCGTATCTTACCCTCCAGATAATGTTGGACACATGCATAACAACTCTATCGTTTAAATGATCCTCTATGCATATATCAAACCCTTTTTTTACGGTGAAACTCTTCATTCCATCTACGCAGCCTGATTCTTCAAGACAAATCGTGCTGACTTTATCGTGATCTATAAAAATGAGCACGTCGCAAGCTTTTGCATCCTTGAAGAGGAATAGAACGCTAGTCACTAACAAGAGCATACATTTTAGAGAGCATTTAGGGGCTTTTTCCAATATCCTAATTTTGAGCATTCGTCCCATACCGCAGGCTCGAGTCTCAGTCTCAATTATCGCTCCAGTTTTTCTTTTATTTGTTTATTAAGTTCTGTATTGTCTTGGTAACGTTAAATTCCTTATAAATAAATGTACATGTATTCACAACATCGCTTCAGTTAGTAATGCATAATTTTCCATACCAGTATCCGATGTGTGTGCTTTCGCGGTAGCAATTAACAGACTCTGTTCTAAAAATCGTGTACTGGATGGAGGATTTTTCGTCCGAGGAAATTCTCAGCATTTGACACTTATTGCTAAGCCTTAATGATCTGGCATTTTTGTGCATTTTCTACTAATACAAGTCCTTCATTATCTTCTCCAAATCCTTTCAATCCCGCGGTCCTAAAACGATAAGAGGGAGTATCCTGCAACAAACGGAGTAAATAAGATTCATTCTACAAAATGCCTTATGGATAAATACAACGATAGCCAGAGTGCAAAACCACGTATCTTTGTTGCGGTGTTTCAACATTTCCACTTCTATTTTATTCCTCCGCGCTCCGGGAGAGAAACGCGCCTACTTTATCGCTTGAAATTTCATGGACTATTCTGCTAACTAAGAAGAAAATCAGGGAAGTTCTTAAAAAAATGTAGACCGGTTTTCCAAAGATAATATAAAGTTTGGCCAGAAATCTGCAACGTTGGAAACGGAGGTACCTGGTTTCGTAGTTACGGCATCTTTATTTTTCAGACATAAGAGGAGAGAAACTTGGGGAGTTAGCAGTATGTACTGAGACACTGGGAAAGAATGGTCCGTTCAGTATGAATCCCAAGCACGGTGTTGTTCTTCATGACGTAACCATACTTTCGGTCTTGAGAACCGTGTCATCGGTTGATGCAACCGAGCTTTTCCTGCAGTTCAGTTTGATTTGCAAGCTCGGTTGCACAAACCGAGGATGCGGTTCCCAGAGTCGAGGATACGGTTGGATGAACTGAAATGTGCCGCCGATTTAGAGCACCTCACTTACGGTTCAAATGACCGAATTTTCCTCTTCAGTTTAGAACTTGTCGCTAGTGTGTTACTCACAAACCGACGCATGACGGGTATCTGCAAAGTTGGAAATTTCAGTTAGTCTTATATTAAGCGTTAGTTCTGAAAGACACCTCCGCGTTCTGCTGCTGGCAATCTATCTCCGGAATCAAGGGTTATTTTAATAATACAACCTTTATATTGAAATGATCAATATAATAGTGTTCTAAAGTGATCAACAAAGGGGTGCGGTAAAAAAACGGTGACGTTACGCCCCCCTGCGGTTTTGGGCGTTGGTCGCAGAGATGTTAAATTTCTTCCAAGCCTCCATATTTTCGCGCGCCCGCCAGTCGGCTCTCTACATTTTTCTCATCAGTTTTCCACATCTCCCACCAATCTCAAAGATAAATGACGTTTTTCTTCTGCTTTCCTTTGATTTTCGACATTTGTCCCCCCTAAATGTTCCCTCCTTCTACATTTTCTACTTGACTCAAGTAGCATTTTTCAACGGAAAAATCGCGATTTCTTGCGATTTTGTCGGCGATAAAATCGCTAAGATCATCAACATCTGGGCGATTATCCTCGATCTTGTTGCCATAAAATCGCGATTTTATCGCCCGGCGATTTATCGCAATATTATCGCAAAAAAAATCGCGATACATGGTGATTTAGTCTCGATTTTATCGACGAAAATTGATCGCGATTTAATTGAACAAAAAATTGCGATGCATAGCAATTTAATCGCAATAAATCACAATTTTTCATTCGATAATATTGCGATAAATTGCCATCGATATAATCGCGATAATCAACCGATAAAATCTCTAGTAAGTATGTTTCCCCCTCAATATGAGGAAAAACGCCTTAAACCGCAAGTCGATATTATAAAGAAAGAACTAAAGTTATGCCCAGTGGTGCGTGACTTTTTGAATAACCCTGTATATTCTGAGCGTTCATCTTAAGTGAATGTGAACATTTTGAAAAAACAAATATTACCTGTATATTTAAAATGCAAGCGTAGTCTGTATGGTTGTTCTCATAAGTTCGCCGAGGGTTCGATTCACTAGAAACATCAGTAGCCGCTGGCTTAGAGGACTCACAATGTAGATTAACTTTAGGAGAAACTAAAATTCAATAACTATTCACGAAGAAATGAGGATAAATACCAGGCCCTCTATTAAACTGAACCATTTAGCACAGATTAATGTAGACCACTAGATTGGTTCTCATGAGAGTGGCTCTCGGTAAAACTAAACAGGAAGCGCTATCTCCCGCGCTGGGTGTCGCATCATGTTGTCAGGCACTATCGGTCAAGCAGATATTTTCATAAGGGGAAATTGCAGTCAGAAATGAAGAGGAAAACATCTTGATAATTCTCGAACCAAAATGGCTAAATTTCAGAACTAACAACTTCTGCTACCCCTGGTAGCAGAACCCCCCAAAACTATGTGGAAAAGGAAAGATGGGGTGTGCTCGTGGTGAGCTGCATAAGAAACAATGTAATAAGTGCGGATATAGTTCCTTCTGAGAAAATGGAAAAGAGGGATTTTCTATCAAATCAAAAGGGACCGAGCGCTAACTCATGAGCCGTGGGCATGTGACAAGAGCCTTGTGGACAGGGCTCACGAGTTAAAGCGCCCCGACGACTATCTCCCCGTCGAGCCGCGACTCGAATTGCCGCTGACGTCACTGGCGCTTTTAAATCCCCATTCATTCTTATGCCCCTCAGGAATTGCCGCTGACGTCACTGGCGCTTTTAAATCCCCATTCATTCTTATGCCCCTCAGGAATTGCCGCTGACGTCACTGGCGCTTTTAAATCCCCATTCGTTCTCATGGCCCTCAACTAACGAGCACACCCCATCTTTCCACTTCCACATAGTTCCATTTCGCATAAATGCGTCCAAGTTTTGAACGATTCCATCGGTTTTCACCGAGACGCGGCTTCCGGCATTTTAACCTATGGAAAAGAACCGATAACAGGATGTTCCCAACCAACACCTTTAATAATCGATTCCTTACCATAGCTTCAAATGTGGAATTATGTATGATCGATCATTCACGGTTCGGCTGATTCATGTCTAATCATTGCCCTCCTAATCATCGTCATAAAAATCAGCACCGTCTCCATAAATCACCCTCGTTGTCTAAGCGTAACGGTGATAATTTTAATCGCCCTTGAAAATTGATCTTTTCACAAATAAATTAACAGCACTCAGAAAACACTTGAAAACAGCCACAAAATTCATTCCAATGTTCATTGGCGAATATAACCGCGTGGCTGAGATGCATAATTTATCGACGAGATAAGCCTCTAATTGACGTTGCGTTGGAGAGCACAGGAATGCGGAGTTGTCAAATTTATGACCGATGTTCGGAATTGTTGCTGAGAGAATATTTATTGGTGTTACAACGATATGAAGTTCAAATCACTGAATTAAGCTCATTTTTCGTCAGTTTTTTTTTTTTTTTTTTTTTTTTTTTTTTTTTAAATCAATCAATTAATTGCTTCGTTCATTCTATTTTTTTTATTTTTTATTTATTTTATTTTTTTTAAAATTCTTTTTAACCCTCAATCCTATTCGGGGTTGACAGTTGGATCTTTCCTTGGGCATTACTTCGGTGCTTTGCAATGTATTTAGTTCTGTGTTGGACGCTTTCTTTTGATTTCTTATAGCACACAGTACCTCTCTTAGTGGAAACGGTCTCTTAGTGGTGTTCAATTGTGTATATTTTTAGCCTTGTTTCCCGTTTTTTTCTTTCTTGCTTTTTCATGTTACCATTGTCACGGGCTGCTGTGTAAAAAATTGTATCTACCACTCTTAAGAGTCTGTCTATTTTTTCAAAATTATCTTTGTTTTCTATCCTTATACATTTATTATATTTTCTTTGTTTATTTTTTGTTTCAGGTATGCTTCGGTCTCTCTCCTTTTTACCTCGAATTTTGAACGGCTAAATATGATATGCTCCGGTTTGTTACCGAAAGGAGATTCACAAAAGGTACAGTCTAAAGATGCCCTCAAAATTAACGGCAAACAACGATATTCTCGGTAAATAGTTTTGTGTCCATTTTGCCACCCCGGAACAGAGTTACGTTCTTTCATTTTGCGATGTATCGATTGATCTGCCATTTAATCCTACGGCAAAGGATCGATAAACAGGGTGTTCGGTGTAATAATCGATTCTTTACCACAGCTTCAAATGGGGACATTTCGATACTCGATCAGTCACGCCACGCCACTGGTTCTTTCCTCAAGGAAACGACGAAATCTTTGAGCATTCCCACAGTGGCGTGCGGTCCGGATAAGCAAGGCAAGCACTGCTTGCCCAAAGATTTCAAGAGAAAGAAGAAAATTACACCTTTAACATGTTTTACATTTTAGCAAATATAATTTATGAAAGGTGTTCAGTAAGAAAATTGCATTAAAAATAGAAAGAGAAAGAGACAGAAATACGTAGAGAGCCACTAAAGTCAACTAAAGTAGGAAAGCGGCAGANTCAAGAATACGAGGACTTATCTGTAACAATAGCGAATGTGCAAAATTACCTTTTCGAAACACGCTTAAAAAAACTGTTTTGTTCGCACAAAAATTTAATATGTTTGGCTCTGGCATAATGTACAGATCTTGAGGATAACATCTCAAGTATTTTCTCAAAATTTTCTCGATGCCAAAACAGTTTTTTGAATGTGTTTCAAAAAGGAAATTTTTCACATCCGCTATTGCTCCAGATAGGTCCTCATGTGCGAATTAGAGTCCCTTTATACCCAGAGTTAAGACAACTCACTTTTGGTTGGGCTGAAAGTGGCCTAAAAAAAAATCCAATTCTGATTGGTTCTCGCTTATGGAGGCCGAAACGAGTGCACCAAGATGGCGGTACCTCGAATGTGAACAAGAATAATGAAAATATTACCTAATTGTGGTTTATCAAGAGTAAATTGTCATTTCCATTGGTCCAAAATGAAAATAGATTAAGAAATTATTCACAAACCAATCTCATTTTCTTTTTAATTGATCAATTTGTTGATGTTGTTGTTTTAGTGTGACAGACATCGCAGGATTCCTGATCCTTTTCCCTCAATATCGTTCGTTCGGGTGCACTCGTTTCGGCCTCCATGGCCAGCCAAGGCCGGCTGCCAGTCAGCTGATAATCGAGTTGTCTTAACTCTGGGTATAAAGGGACTCAAGTGCGAATATTCGATACAATCTGGCAAGAGAAGATACAGTCTCGCGGTGAATTATAACCCCGCGCGTCGCTAGAAAAGAGGGAAAGCGGGAGCAGCCCACCTGGACAAATTTGAATAATCAAGAGGGCAGTAATAATTAGTTTTATTAATCCGCCCGTAGGTGAGCAGCGCGGAATTGGGCATTCCCGAAATGCGCGAGCATGGAGAGCGGGAGATGATCATCGGAGCCGGAAATTGATTCCCATCCGAGCGAAGGCGATAAAATCGAGTGGTGGCATTATTATTGTCGCGCGTAAATCACTGTTCATGAGGTAATTGAAACAAAACCCGGAGCTGGACGCGATTCATGATCGGGCGCTTTTGCGATTAGCGTAGGCGTCTGCGTCTCCATGTTACACATTTTTTTTCTTCTTTTTTCTGTGCCTAACAAGGTGCGTGGCTCTGCCGAAGGAACCATTATTCTGCCGAGCTAAGGACGAACGCCCTATGAAACTTTTGGCGATGCCAGATTTCCAACGAATTTTTGAGAAAGTTTGTCAATATTTTTCTTCCAATTTTTCAGATAATTTTGCTCGCAATTCCAACCGAAAAAATCGATAGTATCGCATTGATTTTAGTGGGCTCGATGAATCGTGTAGAGCGACTTTTTCCCTCATAATCGAATACACCGATTTTCGCCTCCCGAATGTATTTAATCGGCACGATTTGAGTCGATGTTTGGGCCAAAATGTTTGCAAATCCCGGAAATTGTCACTTGATTTTTTTTAAGAGTGCGAATTTTGAACCATCCTAATTTCCAATTTGTTTTAAACGATTTTTTTCACGATTTGAATCGATGAAATCGAAATCTCGGAGAAAATCGAATCTATTTTTTCGAAAAATACTCAACACCAGCGACAGGTATGTTTCACGAGGTGTACTGCTCTGCTAAGAAAGAAGGCCTTATGAGCAGTTTGCAGTCGCCAAATTTCCCTCTATTAAATACTTATTTTCGAGAAAAGTAATGGAAATTATTCCTTGAAATTTTCAAATGTTATAGATTAATATGTGAACAAAATTAGCTGAAAAATTAAAGGAATAGAATTTTCACAGCAAACTCGTTCTTTATGGAAGGAAGTATTGCATCGTCTGAAGGCTCATACGGCGTTTTTCCTTAGCACAGCGGTGTAGGTGTACGAATGTTTCGCCAGTGAACAGCAACAGGAAATTTAAGTTCGGTGGTTCGCGTGCTCTCACCTGACCCCGGAATTATTTATTAGCGTAACAAGCAGGAACACGGCTCGGAACAAGTATTTCGCTTGTTTTGAGCCCGTTTTTCGCTTGTTTTGAGCCCGTTTTTCGCTCGCGCTTGGGACACACTTCCAAATCATTTACCTTATCACCAAGCCAAAACACTGCACTGGCATGCCTACGTTAAGAACATTAAACACTGCAGGGAAATTTTAAATACCACCAAGTTTTTATTCCTACAGGCACCTGAGGATTTTTTTTATCAACCAACAATTCCACTTGCGCATGCGAGCTAAGCTCTTATCATCATTACTTTAACCCAGAGACAGGAGACCCTCCACTGTCCTCTTGGCGACAGGTGGAAGCTTTTACTTTCGGGGATTCAACAGTTCCGTTCCTTATGGACAATTATAAGGGAGCAACAGTCATCACCCTAATTTCGGCTGTTGACCTACCTACATGGTCGATGATGAGCTTCGGGGGACGTCATGAGTCAAACAAGTTTCCTAAACTTCGGCCATTTTCGGCTTGTTTGCGAAACGAAACTGCCAACACGTTGTTAAACATCAACCATGTAGGTAAATCAACAGTAGAATGCTGAAGTCCCGAAAGTAAAAGCTTCCACCATGGCCAAGATACCAGTGAAGGGTCTCTTGTCTCTGCTTTAACCTCTCTGGCCCCATTAAACTATTATTTTCTTGTCGCAGTTCATTCTCTCATGGGCCGATGTCTATGATTCTCGTGGCTATCGATGGATGACAGACCCTAATCGAGCTCCCTCTTTTCTGATTATGACCCAGATCCTTGAAT